GGGGGGGGGGGGGGGGGGTGTCACAGGAGGAGCAGTGGGTTGGTAGTAAAGTCAGCACCACCCCCCCAGCTTCTAACCCTTGAGCTGCTCTGTGTGTCTGAGAGGTGTCTCTGGCTTTGCCTTTTAAAGGCGAAAGTCATGGATTTGAACCTCTGGCCAGCAGGGATGTGCGCGCCAAGCTGCCGGCAAACCAGCCACGCAGACCACATCAGAGGTTCCGAACTTGGAAAAGAAAAGTTCCTGTCAGACGGTGGCTTTCCCAGGGCCAGTCGGCCTCAGTCAGCAGGGGGCGCCAGCTTAGGGACGAGGATCAACTCTGATGCTAAATTACAAACAAGAAACTAATGCAGACTCAAACACAGTGAGCCAGGTACTAAAATCAGGCGGCCATGCTGCGTGCAGATGGCTGGGCCCTTGAGATGAGCTCTGCCAAGCCGGGAGCTGCTAGACACGTGACCTGAGGACGCTGGTCACATGACGTCGTTTTCCTGCTCTGGTGGTCACCCGTGGCTCACTGCCAGAGCTCACCTGCTGAGTGATGCACACACTGGCCATGCCCCTTCTGCTGCACATACTGGCCACGCCCCTTCTGCTGCACACACTGGCCACGCCCCTCCTGCTGCACACACTGGCCACGCCCCTCCTGCTGCACACACTGGCCACGCCCCTCCTGCTGCACACACTGGCCACGCCCCTCCCGCAGCTCAACCCCCTCCAGTTCCATCCACTCGATCTGTCATTACTGCCACTCAGTTCCTGCTGCCCCACAATAATATTCTGGATCTCTCCTTTTTGGGGAGCGGAGGGGGAGGACACAACGGCCGGACCTTGAGCAACACGTGACAAGAGGCTCCCGGGACCCGAATCCAAGTGCCACTGACATCCGATCAGCTGCATTACACAGATTGTCAGGAGGGAGGGGCAAGGGGTTACAGCATAGAGTACAGATGACTTATGATAATCACATGGCTGAGCCTGTGCTGACATGAGATCAGAAACACCATGAAAGAGAGAGAGAGGCAGAGGGAGAAAAAGAGAGAGGGAGATTTTGACAGAAAGAGAGGGAGAGAAACAGCTCACAGATGAGATATTAAGGGACGTATTAGAAAGCAGGATAAGGTCCTGTTTCCTTTCACTACACTCCCCCCCCCCCATATCACAATATCACATGAAGCTGCTTTCACTTGCTTGTCGCTAATTGGTCTTTGGTTTCAGAGTTTTCCCCACACTTAAAATCGGGAGTGACGTCCCACTGCAAATTGCACAGCACGGAAACATGGGAGCTGCAGAAGAGTACGCTGGCATGTCACCACGGCAACATAGTGCCCAAGCGTGGTTTACAGCCCCCGGGCGGCACACAGCCGCATCGCCCCTTTGTCTGACTGGTTTGCACTGGTCAGGACGTTTAGAGTCTGTCCTCCCTGATGTTCAACATAGTTCATCTGGCTTGCAGAGAACTGCCCCCACCCCCCCACCACAAGTGGCTTCTGAGACAAAAACAAGGCAAAGCATTATCATGGTCGACATCCTGGGGGAAAATACACCCCCCCCACCCCCAACATTCTGTTTCACATCATTCAACCTGACTGAGACCGGCACAAAATTATCCACCATTTTCATTTTTATGTGTCTGTAATCAGCAATATTCACTATTAAAATCTGTATTATGCGTTACTAAAAAACAAACTCAATTCTAGCTAAAACTACTACTGAACTAAGGCTGGTTTCAACAGCTTGCCTCAGCATCGATTTAGCAATAAAAAACAGCCAAGGGGTCGGTTTAAAGGGCTAAAAATACCGTTATTTATGACGAGGAGCCATAATGACCTTCACTGGCTGCCCTCTGTGATTCCCCGACAGCCTGCCTCGTTAGCCGCTTGCGTTTTCACCCAGCGACCCTGTACCATATCGGTGCCACCTTGGCGGAATGTTACCCTGGCGTAACTCGATCGGCGGATTGCGATCGCATCTTCAGCTTGGCATCGATCTTGCTGGCAGGATGATACAGGAGGAGGCCTGGCGTCTAAAGGAAAGGCGACCTTCAGGGTCCTCTAATACGGGCCCCTGAGGGGTTCCAGATGTGCAGGGGCTACATCTGGAACCCCTGAGAAAAGGGAGGGTGAACGCAAGCTGTCGCCTAGCAACCGCCACCTGCTGGGCTTCCGGGGGATAACGGGGGGTTTGATTTTCATCACAGCCAGGTAAGCATACGTTCGTAATAAAGGGCAACTAGGAAAAGCTAGTGACCTGGTTCTCCTGATATTGGATTCCGTTTCTGTGTACATCGACCAATCAATGGGGGGCAGTGGATGGGGCCTATCCCAGGCATTGCAGGGCACAAGGCTGGGCCACAATCTCAATGGGATGCTAGTCCACCAAGGGGTACACCGTGGGCAATTTAGATGGATGGATCTCGAACCTGCAACCCTGGAGGTTTGTGGCCATTGTGCTACCACTTCCTCTATATATAATTTGAAGACCCACAAGGAGGAAAAAAACACAAGAATGTAAATGATTAAATATGAATAAATAAACATATTGCTGCTCTCCATGCGATTTAACCAGCCAGACAGCTTCCAACTGGCTTAGCATACCACTCTCAAACTATCACATTACTCTATCGATTATTACTAACTGAGGACAGACACAAACCTGCCTCCTTATACCTCCCCCCACCAGAGCAAAAACAAAGGGCCCAATGTTAAAGCAGCACTGCAACAACAATTAGCAGAGCGAAAAATGGATGGGACCTCTATCAGCTGTATGTTGTGGCTCAAGTTTAACCCAATCAGGCCTCACACGACCGATACTGGGCCATCTGTGTTCCCAAGAAACGGGGTTTATTTTAAGACCTGGGTAGAGAATCTGACCACACATACAATGATTGTAATGCAGGGAATGGCATTAATCATATATTTAAAAGATCCATAACGCCATCGCTCATCGATTACTCATGCCTGCATGTTGAGCAGGTCATCGCTGGGATGTGTGTCGCGGGCCCCCCCACTGTGTCCTACCATCCTACGCTGTCTGACATGCTGTATGTTATGGCACTGTTACGTTTTTCCTTCCCACGTTGTAGGAAAGCAGATCTTTCAGTGTCACGCCTCCAGGTCCGCTGGTTCGATTGCCAGCTATGTGTGTCTGCATTCTGCATTTCCTCCCACAGTCCTAAGACGCGCGCTTAGGTGAATTGCCATTTCTGAATTGCACTGGGAGTAGCTGTGCACCAACATGAACTACCTCGTGCCCTGTACATCTTGGGAATAGGCTTTATGGTCCCGGTGACCTTGTCCTGAATATTGGAGATGGATGTATGGATGTATTGATGGATGGGAGACTTCTCATGGTCCTCGGCGGTCACAACACCCTTCTGAGTGAATTAATATGCTAACATGGCCAAAGTAAAAGCACAGAGTGCCGGAGGACACTGATGAGCCGCTTGCTTGTTACGCTGCCAAATGCTTGAATAATATAATAAAGTATTATTAGTTTTCATTTTGTTATCTCACTCAAAGCCAAGATCACTTAAATCTGCTGGCACAAGAACAGAGGATAATCTAATCAGGCTCGCTGGGAGCTGGAGAAGATGGACTGAGAGAAGTTGTATTGTTTTCTTAAGCTGTCAGCCAATCAAAATGTCCCCAGGCCTTGGTCGTAACCCCGCCCCTTTTTTGTGAGTGGAGGCTGGCCTTGATATAGATAGCTGAGGAACACCATGCCACATTGACTTTTAGGATGGGAAATCAAACTTAATTGGATGACAGCAGGACGGCTGTGTTGTAACCTACAGAAAAATTAGAGCGAATCCAATTTGGTTTGTTCAGTTAGGTCTCCCAGACTTTGGACGGCATAGGAAGGGCCAAAGATAGAGGCTTTTTAGGCAATTAGGGTGGAAGCACATGGGGCCCTAATCTGGAAAATGTCAGTCAAGGGTCACAGGCACCAGGAAAACAGCAGGACCTGAAGGGCAAAAATGACAACGACACCATGTCTATGATGATCCTGACTGGCCTGTAGCACTAACAGTGAATCTGAACAATATCAGCGCATGACTCTCCATGACATAACCAACCCTGACCCCGCAAACTTTATTAAAATACCAATGACAAAAAAAAAAACATGCGTGA